GGGGCTCGGGCGAAAAGGAATGAAAAAACGCAAACCATAGCGCGCTTAAATGTCCTTAAACACAAGCTCGAGCTTTTCGGCATTCAGGGGAATGCGAGAAACGCGCTGGTTGGCTTCATCGCGGAAGCGGTTGTACACGGCCTCGTAGACGTTGTCAGTGTGGGCCACTCGGAGCAGTTCCAACAGCGTTCGGGCGCAGCGGAGCATGGCCTCGTAAGGAGTAAACAGATAGAACTGCATGCTGTCGTCCCAGGCGACCTCAGTGGGGCTGGTGATGCGACGCGACACAAACAGCGCCGCACCAGCAATGGTAGACTGAGGGAACTCGAGCATTTCCGCGCTGTACAGGCTCAGCTCGCACATGTACTTGGCAAAGGTGTACGTCTTAGGGCGGCAAGGCGATGCACGGTAGCCACGACGCAGGAAGTGAAGCGGAGACGGGGTGCCGAGGTTGAAGCCAAGAGCAACAAGAATCTCGCTCTCAGCGACGAGCACGTCTTGGCTGGAGAAGAGGTTGTGGGTCAGGGCGACAAACTCGGTGATCTCGGGAATGTAAATTTCCTCGTACTTGGCGGCAATGATAAAGGACGTCAGGCCAATCAGCTGCAGGCGAGTGCGCGGCACTTGGCGCCGTTGGAGGAAGCGATCAAGCACGTGCACAGCCAGGTAGAGGGTCTCCTGCTTGAAGGGCCACGTCTGGTGGACTTGGAAGAGCCAGCCGACAAGAATGGAGCGCATGCGAGCGGTGATCTCGGGCTGGCGGCTCAGGTAGGTGGGGTTGATGGCGTACACGTGCTGGAGGTTGTTCAGGTACTCGTAAATCTCGGCAGCGTACTCGGGCACGTACATGAGGCTCAAGTCGTAGTCCTCCTCGTCAAGGTTTGGCACTCCGGCAGGGATGGGGCGAGTGGGCTTGACGGCGTTGGACAAGCGGGCCTGAGCGGCAGAGATCAATGTCGACTGCGAAGCGCGTGCGTTGACTGCTGCAGCAGCGGCGTTAGCGGCAGGCCACGACGCAAAGGTTGCGTGGCGAGCGAGGGGAGCCATGGCCGAGCTCTTGCCAACTTGCTGGTGGTGGTGGAGGTGCGGGGGCACGGTTTGTTCGGCAGTCTGTTCTGGCGCAGGAGCAATCGACACGCAGCGGTCCAGTGCGGGAAGCGCGGCAGAAGTCGCCACAGCGGCAGCAGCATGCGCGGGAGCCTCGACATGGGTCGAATCGGTATCCATCATCGCATCATAGTAGGTCTCCTCACCGTCGGCGGTGTCCTCCTGAACAGCAAGCTGCTCTTCTTGGTGCGCGTTTTGTTCCTGGCTTCTCGTGCTGCTCCTCGTCCATGTCGTTGTGATGGGAGCTGGATCTGCTGGATTTGCTGCTGGTGCAGTGAGACTGGGCACGTGTGATGGGGGCGAATGC